GAAAAGAAGAGTCTTACTACCCTGTTTCAGTACAGGATTACCACAATTTCTCTTATCATTTTTGTTGAGATGGCTCAAACAACAAACATCACATTTTGTACTTCATTTTGCAATTGACCTGAATTTGAACTACAGACAACTTAATCTACCAGTGGATAAATGACTGTACTATGTCAAGAGGACCTATGATTTGGGCACTTTTAGATCATAATAAAATCAATACAGTGTCATGTACAATGTACCTTTTAACCTAATCTAAACAGCGTTATACCATAAGGTCTTACTAGAGCAATTTTTGCAATGGTCTTTCACAAAAAGTGTTGACGTAAAACAAGGAGAACAAATCTATGAAACATGCCCAGTATATTTGCCTGTGGCATTGATATAATAGATTTTGTGAATTTATATTGGTTAATGAATAAAGACTTGGGGGGACCAAATTTTACCTGATGGTATCATGTCCTAAATGATGCAATATGAAAATCAATATAGTGAATGACCATAAAAGCAATAAAATCTGGAAAGCCACATCTACCACTCAGGCACTTAAGGGGCTGTGGGGAGGGGAAGACAACTTGAACTTGGATCCTGCATATTTTGTATCTACTGTTTGTTGCTAGTGCTCCACATTTAGATTAAGAACATTGATTAAATATTCCCTTTATTTCAACCAGTTCAAATCCACCACTGGTATAGATTTACATGTATGTAACAAGTGTAAAATAAAAACACCCAAATTTCAACCCTAGAGTTCAACTTTAGCACACCAAAGTAGCCATTTGTTTACCAATTTTCTACTGGTTGAAAATGGTTATGTGTTAAACTTCACATAGCTAATTAATGTAGATTTGTCTGTTAAAACTATTAGATATTAGTATTATCTTAACTTCCACATATGTACCATACATTGTACTTCCTTCAATTGTCATGCAGTAAAGTTCTACTTGTGTGAGCAGGTTTGAAGCAGCTTGTAGCACAACAGTTGCCATTTCAGCACCACAGAAAGAACCATGTGTATCCTTGTCTTCTGAATGTTTCCTTGTCTTTGTTTACTTTCTCTGAATGTTTCCTTGTCTTTGTTTACTTTCTCTGAATGTTTCCTTGTCTTTGTTTACTTTCTCTGAATGTATCCTTGTCTTTGTTTACCTTCTCTGAATGTTTCCTTGTCTTTGTTTACTTTCTCTGAATATTTCAAAGGCCTGTATAGGGAAGGGCACCAACCCTGAAATACCTTCACCTCTTAGGGATTCAGGCTAGTACATCATGCCAAGGTAAATGATTGTGTCATGCAAACTGGATATTGAAGTTGGGTTGGTCAATATCATAGCCTTCAAGCTAACAGACAGAAATATATAACGTTAGTTTGCAGATTGTATAGTACATATGCATCAAACATACTGAACTTGCATTTCTGTGGAAAAGGGAAATATAATGTACAAATATCCCATCTGAATCATTTCACTTAGGAAAACAAAAAAAAATGTTTCTTAAGTGCTAGTGTAGTATAATGAGAAAATTAAAAAATAAGCTTGATATGTTTTATAGGGTCTTGAAACATTACAAGGATCATGTTGAAAAATGTTGAGGATGAATACCTTTATCAGTACATTTGCATGTGTCAAGTAGCTGAGATGGTATATAGATATAATAAACTACATACACAATTCAGTAACTATGATCAGATATGCCTCATTGGAAATCAATACAGAGGACAAAAGGACTGGGAATTTGGTAATATATCAGTACAGTCTACAATATCATACATGACACAAGCTAATGTTATCTGTGCCCTAAAAAAAGCACAATTTGGTGACAAAGCAACCATGGCTATGCTTCAGCTTCTGTTCCTCACATACAAGAAATTCAGCTTGTTTTCCATTCTTCTTGTGACGCCTCAAATGTGGAATAGCATGCAGAAACGATGATGTTACTAGGTCAGACCAAACCTTTTAGAGAAATTAGAGCATTGCATGAAAAATGGGGTACTGCGGGCTATAATGTGCATTTCATGCATTTTGTGTAGATATAATGTTACAGTATAAAATCCACATGATTGCACAATATAATTCATCCCAAACTACAAGTTTGAAAACAAAATAATAGCTATAGGCTGTGGATTAGTATTGTCAGCTATTGTAGTCTCCCCCAGTTAGCCCAGCTAAGTTAGGCTATATATTCAACTGAGGACCAAATTATGATCTTTGGATTACATATTGCTAACCTTTAGATGTTTACACAGGCTAACTAGTATAATTATATATAGTCCAACGAGTAGAATTGCAAATAAGAAATTTAAGTGTATGAATCAAATATTTTAAGACATAATGCAACAGATTTTTTAAACATTACAAAGAACTACTTGAATGTTAGATTGTATGCTTTCTGGAATTTACTGCAAAAGAAAAATGCCTAATAGTAAAAAATATTTGACTTCAAATCCTATATTTCAAGACGTAATGCAACAGGATTTGGTTTCATATTTTGGAGACATATTATAAATTTAAGAACTATTTTACACTGTAAGGTTCAAGGCTGGACTGCCAATTTGAAGAAAGAAAAGGCAATTCATACAAAATTGAAGTCTACAAGCAAGCCCACAAAAGGAGGATGGCAGCAAAATACTTTCAGTAGCGCTGCTGAGAAATGCTCCAAGATCGATATAGTTACAAGGAACCCACAAATTCAATGACATAAAACGGGGGCATTTCTCAATTGCGCACTTGACACGATAGCTAAGCCTCGACGGAAGATATAGCAATACAGAAATGCCAGCAGCCACAGTAAAATTGTCCATGCAACGATTTTAGAATTTCACAGACCTGGCGTCTTGGTAATGGATGTGCCATTATGGCAAAAACAATTTGATCTACTTTTCCACAGACTACACAGAGGCAAGGTAACACATAGTGAATCAGACTGGCACTAACAAGATTGTTGCTATATATACTCTTGTCTGCAAATGTTTAGGATAAATCTTCATAAATCCCAAAATCATTCTAAGCTAGCCTTATACTGTGAATTTTCAGGTTTTATGACCACAAAGTAAGGTAGAGCACTGAAATCTGGACTTCAATATGGGATAGGGCCAATTTATAAGCCAATTTTGACCAAAGACCATCTAAGTTTATATCTGCAGACACTCTGGTTGCCTGTGAATGGCCATTCAGATATTGCTGAGTAAGACTTACATGTATATTGATGTGGGGATAGAATACTAAACAGCTCACCTTACAAGTTTAAACTTTGATCATTGCAGGCTTGAATTTAAAAATAAATGCTGAACTGCAAAATCAACATGAAAACAGAGCCTAAGGGGAAAGCCTGTATAAAGTTTGTACACACTATTTCTGGGAGTAAATATAGATTTGCAATTAAGTTTTCGTCCCAGTTTTTTAGACCTGTTTTCATCTTGGCCTCTTGCTAAGTTTTTCCAATGTCTAAGAAGGAAATAAACAGGAGTGTCCTTAGAGTAACTGTTCAATCTATTGTATTACTTTAATGGCATTGTTCCAGTAGACAGACTAGGACAGACTGTCATACTGGATTCAACATCTCCCAATATCTGCTTGGAGACTGCAGTATCATACAAAGAAGATGTCACTGCCTATAATGGTTGGCTAAGCATAACGTTTACCTGTCATATGAATTATTCACATTGATGATATATAATACAATACCTTGTACAGCATAATTGCTACTGATTATGATAGTAGCTTAGTAAGATGATTATAAAAGTAATCTTGGTCCAGTTTTAGCTCATTGAAGCTACATATATTCTTCCATTGGTCGTCACAGGGAAGACAGATCATGAGATGTTATGTACAGTATTTACTGGCTCATTTTACTGTGGAAATTTCCATACCTATTCATTATGACAAGTATAATGAACGTAGACCACAGTTTAACATCCCTTCCTTTTGGTTATAACCCTCTCTAGCAGTAGTGTGCAAGCCGGGTAACTGACAATGTCTCAAACTTCCAAACTCTAAATCCAGACACAGGGTCCCTAACTACTGGAGTGCCCATGCTACAAAATTAATGTACAACCAAATTAAAGGTTATTCACAGTGTAACTCCTACTCACCAGTCTTTTCTCATGGCCCTGTTCCTCTCCCTGAAGGTCTCACACACTGATTGAATCTGCGAGGCATTTTGTTCCTGGATGGCTGCCACCCTTTGGGAGAACTCAGCAACTGCAACAGAAACACATCCATTGAAGCATACAGCAAACCATAGCCATTTATTATGTGTTCTTCCAACCATCTATACACAGTATGGTTTCTAGCATATATCCAATACTTAACAATCTTAAGATATACTTGAAGATTTAGGAATACCCCAAATTCTTTCTTGCAGATAAAAATTTATGTCTTACATTGCTGTCACATTTTGCAACAACACTTCAAGTGAAAAATAAAGACATCCATACAATGGAAATGCATCACACAACCCCAAACCATAACTAACAATGCAAGAATATCTTACAACGTTAAAACAGTATGAAATGTTTAAAGTACTCCTTTGATAGTTGCCCAGGAGCATATGAACTGCCGAGGTTGCTTGAATGAAGGCAGCTCTTGTGGCCATCTTGAATGAGTAAGTGGAGCTATAGGTTGTAAAGATTGTGACCCTGTATGTCTTAGACAGTGACAAAGTACTGGTGTCGTCTTAGACAATCATTCAAGTCACTTTACAATACACTCAGCACATAAATAACAGGTGAATGGGTGCCTGAGAACATTTTTATTTTGCCTGGAACAAAAGAACTGTTATAGTAATACACCTAAGTTACAAGGGAAGTAGGTGAGATACTGTTAGAAAGGTTCTGGGAAATAGTCTGATTCACTGCTGCAATTTTTTTTTTTTGTCAATGAGTTCTTGCATGAATTTTGAAGGAAGGGATTTATATCTTATGTTTCTGTTCAGCATTCTTACAAATGTAAATAGATCACTTATTTGTAAATTTGGAAGATACATTTAAAGACAAAATCCAGATCAAAAAAAGTCATGAATTTCTTTGGCCTGACAGTAACTTTGACCCCAACATAACCTTGTAATGTAGGTCACACAAGGCCATTGCCTTGATAACTGACCTTCTGACAAGTCAGTGGTTAGGGAAAACTAAATGCCTGTGCCTTTTTTTTCTTAAATGGAGGAAGCTAGTCTTTTAGGGTGTCATCATGAGGGCTGGGGGCAAACTTGCATCTGACTCCGTTCACTCCATAAAACTGTGTGTACAAAGGTATTGATTGAGTTTTTTTTCATGATATTTGAATCTATCATTAAGTTTCAAAATATGAGAACCAAGAAAGGAAATTGGCATGGCCTAAGTGTAATCAATTATGGCAGTAAAGACATGGTAAAACTGACACAAAATATAGGACAGGTTAAGTCTACCTATTAGTAAATAATGTGTCACAAATTGATGTAACTTTTTGTTTCAAATTGCTAATTGACTAGTATGTGCTACTTTTATTGCATTATGTGCATTATCATTGCAAACATAATTCAACTGTTACACCACTCATAATCTTTAACATTGTTAATAGTCAAATAAAGACTGAAATGTTGCAGATGCACGTTTGTGACCTGCAGCCAATTTTCTCAATGGCACTACACAGAAAACCTTTCCCTGGCCTCACTCTCTCATGCCTGCGTTTGGCTGCCATCCCAGCGGTAACGTTACAACACAGGCAGTTCCTAGCCTGAAGAGTTCTACATGGAGCTGACAATGACATATTAACACCCCCAGGGATGGGCTACAGTTGAGAAACTAGGGCGTTGTTTGTCTCGTCTGTCACAAATTGATGTATGTTTCATACCAACTCTGCTGTTGTGCTGTCTTGTGGTGTGCCAGGTAATCATATGATCTTGACAAGTTAGTCAAGTTGGAATTTATTGCAAGTCACTGAACTTTTGCTGTGTTTTTCCCCAGTTTTTGCAGTTACCTGTTCACTGCATTTTATTATATGGTGACTGTGTCTCCCTTCTATGCCTTCTGTGCTACAGAATTGAGTCTACTGCAAATTTAACACACTGCAAAAAAACATTGCAAAAGTAGATTACACATTGTCAACCATTTAATATATGTTATCATGATTCTTAATTTTGGTTGGTTATGAAAAGTTGTGTTTTATAGCTTGACAGATCACATTTAGTAAGAATTATGAAACAAGTACTTTGGTAAAGCAAGATATAAATGCCAGCAGCAAAACTAGAAACTCTAATTTCATGTCAGGTCAAAAGAGAATAAATACGACCAGCTTTAAAGCCTAGACGTTACCCCAGTTAAGTGTAAAAGCACGTCTTTGCACTCTACAGTTCAATTAAGCCTCTTCCCACTACAGAGTACACTACGGAGTGACTGTGGGTTGTGTGGAATTGAGACACAGCTAAAGTTTGGCAGCCTGCCATAGTCACAGCACTGGTGTGGTTACAATAATGTCAGGGGCAAATTGGACACCTGGAACACTCAAGCATCAGTGGTAACAATAATGCACACTTCAGTACCATGGACAGACCCTTCTTTCAACATTTCCCCCTAGGTCTAGGGTATGTAGCAGGCTATAGGAGGATGAAAACTTTGAATGATAGATTCCATGCCACTTAACAAGTCCACACAGAAGGCTTTATGCTACATGAGAAACATTTGAGGTCACAAAAACATGCCTGACCTTTGGTTGGTACGCTCTCCTCAATTTTTCTTCAAACACTTTATTTTTATCCTGTTACATCTAATATTGGTCCCCAAGCATTCCAAATGCTGATGTATTGCTAGGGATGCAAGACTTAGCCCACGCAGATTACGTCATGTCCTTCCTATTGGGAAACATAAGTGGCACTATGGGAAGACCTCTTCAAAACACCCACATGTAATAGACTGATCAGGCTGTGCCTTTCTAAGAAAGAAGGAATGCCCATGTGAATAAGACATTGTCAGAATCTATCTTATTCTGTCCTGCTGCATTTTGTCTGCCATGTACATGTAGTTCTGATGCAAGTTATCTTACACTTACCAAAACATTCACAAGAATAGTTAATGCAACTGCAGAAATTTGTTCTGCTCTGACGTACTAGAAGTTACAACCTCTAGTCAGCTAGAAAACTTTGCTTTGTTCTGGCCTCAGTTTGTAGAGAGGAATGAAAAGAGGATATATCATGTTTCTCTCTACTAAGCTCCACTCAGAATGGATGGCACCCTAGAGACTGCTTACTGTGCAAAAGCCCAGCTCCATACACTGCATTATTCAATTTCCTTCCAAAATTCTATGGGGGAGGGGGGTGGATTGATGTACCAAAAACATATCTGGGTGTGGCATTGAAGAATTTTCAGAAAAGCTTAACATCAACATTTTGTTTCTAATTTTTAGCAAAATGAGTTTTAGGCCTGTTTCAGGATATTGATATTTGAATCAAATGTATGCATTGTTCGTGCAGTATGGATGATATATTGTCTTCAGACTCAGAAGAAACAAAGCATTTCCTGATATTTATGTCTCTTGTCAATCCTATACAGTTCTGTGCACCACCAGATTGATCCATAGGGATCTATGTCCTTTACAATGGTGAATATCATTTGTCTTCTGCCTAGCTCAGTTCAATGCTTGTATTTGAAACACATCAAAGACAGGGAGACTTTCTAAAAGGTTAAGGTCGTTGACAGGTATGTAAAGACTCGTGACAATTTACTTTGTGTTTTGAAGGTACATGTTTTGACAATGTTTGCAAAAGAAACCTTAATATATGAATATGTTTAGAATTGCTAACTTGTACTACAACAAGTGTACTAGAACAAGTGCAGATAAGTTATTAGCATAGATGTCATAGTCAGAATTAAAAGATTAGAGAAGGATCGTCACACACTGCAGAGAAAAAATGGCTGCAAGACAATTTTCCTGATATAGGGAAAAGCAGGATCTTACATAAGGAATTGGCAGACAATGGTGTGGATGTGTATCTGCACAACAACCAACATTTCAGGACCAAGGCAAACTCTGGGTTACTTTTTACTTTGATGTACAGAGGTTATGCTTCCTGTGCCTTATTGTGTATTTGCTACAATGTGACTCTCTAGTTATTGCCACATGCTAGACATGGATACTGACAGGAAGTTAGGTCAAAGGTCCCAGAAAAGGTTATCTCATTTTGTGTCTTCAATTTCCTGCTATATGCATGTTTGTTGCCTTCTGGGAGCCATAGAGAAAATGCTTTAAAAACCTCCTTTCCTTTTCTACCAGGAAACACAAAGTCAACACAAATAATTTACAGTATGCAGTATTCTGTCCATCTGATCCTTTCCCATACCCAGTCAAATCCAAATCCTAATACTCCACTATCCAGATTACTTGGGGCTGTTCCTGTATCAAAATGAATTGGTTGTCACCATATCTCTGATTTCTGTCCTGGGAACATATTGCATACATGTACGTGATGAAATTGTCACCGTTTTCAACCATATCCTTGGGGGAATCGACAACATACCTATCACCGAAATCAAATATGAAAGCAATTATTCTACCCCTAATCTTCCTCGACATCTGACAGGTTGGTTTTTACTTTATTGTGGTGTCAAAAGCCTGTATTGAGGAGGAAGGAAATCAATAAAGAAAAGGTGTGATATGGCAAGCAGGGATGTCCTTAGGTTTGGCTGTCAGCCATCTAATCTTCCGATAGGTAATTTGTGACCAAACTGGGTATTATGGAGAAAGTCTGAAACAATTTTTATGCTACAACAATCTGATTCCTTGGATTCAACAATCTTTCCACAAAATGAGTATAAAGTCATCTTAACCTTGTTGAGTATGTTCTTTCTTCAGATTCCTTCTGAATCAGTCAAATCTTTAAAAAAATCATAAATTTACTATGCTATAAACAAGCAGTTTTTTTACTATTACAAGGAAAGAACATAATACCTAGACTCATGTTGGAGTTACATGCACATACATGTAGTTTTTATCTTAGACTTGTGAATTGCAAATGTTGGATTATCCAAAAAAATAAGTTAAACATTTTATGAGAACTTTCTGGGACTTATAACTTACCTTCCTGTCAGTGTCACTGACATACCTAGTATGTGGAAATACCGGTAACTAAGGAAACACAAGTAAACACAGACACACCAAAAACCTCACTATTATGTAATAGTACAATGACTATCAGTATACTTTATCAACCCACATTTGACACAGCCCTA